CCTGTATACAATTTCTACTTACATTTACACAGCGATGGCCTAGGCCGACAGACGAGTCCGAAATCTACCGACAATATAAGTGAATGTTGGATGGGTCCGGAATCTACCGACATTGTAAGCGAAGGCTGGATGTGTTCGAAATCTATCGACATCCAATTCAGATGCAATTGACAAAACAGCATACATTTGGATGGTGATTAAATTGTAATGGCCAGTGGACTGCTGGGAAGTACAGTAAGTGAGAGTAAAATGAGAGAGATATTTTGACATTTTAGTTACGGTGAAAACTTCCCCAGTAAGAATTATTCAGTAACGTGAACTGTTCAATAATCAGTTGTTTTGTAAGCAAACAAACAAATTTAGTGAATCGGTCTTTTGCGCGAAAAAAAGTTTATAAAAAATACAACATAGGATAAGGTAAAGATATAAAAAATAAATAATTTAAGGGCGGATAATGAGCTATTTTGTTTATTTAAGTGTCAAATCCAGCTAAAATATTGTGCATCCGTGGAACACCAATGCCTGTGTTCATATCAATTGGAGATTCAGAAATAATAGGTATTTCTTGCAGACGGTATTTTTTTGTTCCGGGTGATATATAGTGCATTAACAGTTATTTCGATGAATCAGCTATTATCTTACAAATGTTTAGCAAGGTGCCGTTCGTTAAATTTAAATCTAAAATCTTTAAAATCTCTTTCTCGATAGAAATTCGCATTTTTTCTCAGAAACTTCTTATTGACTATATGTTACTGGGAAAGTAAACGAACGGACCTGATATAAGAGCCTATCGCCCAATTAGAAAAATGAATTACCAAATTTAATATAAACATGTGTTATTGTTATTGAAATCAGAACTAGAGCTTTCATTATCGATTAATAACAGATGCCACACCAACAGTTTTTCTACGGTCAAGTGATTTGTATGCTCAATATGTTCGCTTCGAAAGCATATGTATTATTGAATTGTTCATTTGTATATTTCTCTATGTCAGATTTACTTTAGGTAAGTATATGTAAATTTCCTGCAAAGCATGCATACAAGAATTTGAAGTAATTGACAATCAACATTGTTTAGAAACCTTTTTGGTTTAGGAGGAAATATGTAATACCATTTTTTTAATCAATTGGCTGTTTTTACACAAGCAATAAAGCAGATATTTAAAGAAATAGGTGACAACCTGTCACATCTTAGAAATATATTTTTTTTGGCGTGAATTTGCGTAATGAATGATTTTATATTTCCGTAAATCTGATTTTTTTGATTTACTGACCAAAAGGGTTATTAAATTAGTTTGTCATTGAATTTGAAGGTATGTTTCATAGCACAGGAGTACATTGAATATTTTGACATTTTAAATAAAATCGCAAAATATTTAAGCTTTTAAAAAAGAGTTGCAGAAAAAACTCATTTCTTGCAACTTAAAAAAAAAAAAAAAAACAGAATGCATCACTCTGATTTTTATAGGCTATCTAAACATTTTACATTATGCCATTTTTAGCTTACACTCACAATAATTTTTAAAGCAGAAAAGAACGTTTAACTATTGAAACATTTAAATGTATATATTTTCTCTCTTTGTCTAACATAATTTACTCCAGACACGGAACGGAACCACAAACATTTAAATACCAGGAGTATACAAGCAATGTGATGCCTTAAGGCTGCTACAAAAGTATTAATTTTAAAATGTGAAGAAATCACTTTATATATGACTCTAATCACTTTAAATATGGCCGAGCTATATCGTTTGCGAATGAGTCGGTATGAAATGTTTGTTTTGCGAAATGACGACCAGTACAATTTGCCTATTTATGACAAATTTAACGGTGGAGAATATAAAAACAAACAGACTGAGCCCTGTTGAGCCCTGCTCAACAAAATGCCAAAGATAGGACAAGACTTATTCAAAATATGGCAACCTTGTGAAAATGGCTCTGTTGTTATGATATCATAATACCATAGTTACCAATGTTAAGCAATTTAAACTGCTAAGCCAATATGCAAATATTGGGGAAATCTACGGAATTGAATATTGAAACCAAAATTTTGAATTATTCAAACTTTTTTGTCATTGGTTGTTGTAATTGTTGTTTTTATATTAACATGCCTCTGCCATGAGGTTGGTATTGTAGCCACAAATCATTTGCTCAAAATGCATTTTGTCTAGTCCGTACCATTTTAGGCCTTTGAAAATGCTAGTGGTTATCAATATTTGAAAGAGATCTTGAAATACGCATTAACATTTGGAATAAAGACGCCTCAATGTCAAATTGTTCGTATATTTTATTTTGTGTAGCATTTCGTCCCTTTTTATATTAACCTTCTTTCTAACTAAATTATTTGTAAGGGGTTATAAAATATATAAAAAGTGGAAATACTTACTGATTATTATTTTAATAGATCTTAAATAACTTAAATATCATCGGTATGTATACAGGGTGAAATGAAAAAAATTGTCTGGAAAACCACAGCACTCCAGCATTTAAATGTGCATAAGTCTTTTGTGTCTCGTACCATGATATTGATAGCGTAGCCCGAGGTGAAGGAAGTGGAGGAAAAAAAAAACACCAATATCAGCAGAAATGGTTCAAAAAGTAAATAAGCGACTTGATCGAAACCCGCGTCGCAGTGGCCGAAAAATGACTTGTGAGCTGAACATATCGCAATATTCCATTCGTCAAATATTAAAAATGAGCTCGAGTAAAGCCATTGAAATTCCAAAAAGTGCAGAACTTACACCGCAGCAGAAAGAAAATAGACTCAAAAGAGCTAAAGAGTTGCTTCGCTAGGCCGAAAGTGTTGAACTACCGAATTTCGTTTTCTCCGATGAGAAAACATTCGTTGTCCAGCAGTTTGTAAAAAAAAAACAAAATGATCGTGTTTACTTGCCAAAAAGATCAGCTGAAAATGTGCACAATCGGTTGGCCACCAGAATTCAAGCGCCGGCCATGATGATGGTGTGGGCCGCCATAACAGCCGATGGTCACCCTCCGGTCGCACTAATCGGCCGTGGCATCAGAATATTGGAGGATGTATATTGGAATACTGGAAGGTTTATTAAAGCCTTGGGCACGCAAACATTTTGGCCGCAGACCTTGGACATTCAAACAGCGCCACCCAAGAATGGTTACAAAATGATGTTTTCGCTTTATTTCCAGCGCTATATGTTTTATGCTATTTCCGACATTTTTGCTTTCAGTCGATAAAATTAAAAAAAAAAGTGTAAAAATTATGGTGTTTGACTTTGTTACAGTTTTTTTAAATCAACCTGTAGAAAGGAACTTCTTACAGCAGCGTTAAAAAAAATGTATGCACCCTTCACTTTTCAATCTGGGATTTTATCGGAATTTCTGAATAATCCTTTTTATTTACTTTTGCGCTGAGTTCTGATATATTTTTCAACGCCTCAGAACTGATCATCCTTTGCATACATTTATTGGCGCCTTAAGCATAAACATTTACGTCATTACATATGAATGAAATATGAAATAAAACCATCGATTTAGGTAATTTAGAATATTGAACAAATCGAATCCAGGTAGTGTAGCTGGAGGCATCCTCAAAGAATGAAATAAAATTAAGTGAAAGAATTGCAAGTTTCAAAACTTTATTATATATAGTATATATAAAGCGCAGAGAAGAAACATCGTTTCTTAAAATGAATATCCAATATCGCACCCCTACTACAGCCCTAATAGAAGAGTTCCATTCCGTATTTTTAGTCTAATTGATACATAATTCATTGAGGAACTTCTATTCAGTGGATTATTGTGGAATTTTAATGCATAAGGGATAACTTAAAATATATCGTTTTATAGTGCGTGTGTTTTTTTAATGTAACTTGTCACGCAAATATTTTAGATATCAAAACCCAATTTTATTAAAAAACTCCAATGCAGAGCATTATTGAAAAGGTTAGGGCTACCTATATTTTTGTGCATATGATATTATATTTATAAATCTTTCATAATTATGACAATACTTCACATGGTAGTTATTGTAGACCGTTCTTTTCAAACCCATATTGAATGACTCTGCAATGGGAAAAACCCCAAGAAGTGCGTTAAAGAATTTTCCATAAGGAAACAAATCTATCCTATTCCTATAAGCGGCGCATTAAGCTATCGATTATTGGCACTCTACAGATTAGATAGCGTGCTATATAAAAAAGTAATCTCATCTCAATATTTGGCATATAATTATTATCTTCGGATAAAGTTTTCAATATTACTTCAATACAATTTGTTTAGTTCACGATCGCATACTAATTTTGGACATTTCCTAATCTTCCGTAGATCGTATAATTTGACATAACTGTTATTTTTATTTTTCTTCGTTTTGAGACATGCATTGTTTTAAATCCAAATTCAATACAATATTTTAACGGAGTACATATGCAGACGTATGTAGCCACCTACAATTTTACATACCTTCATTTCCAATTAGTTTTAAATGGATTCACTTAAAGCGTAGTTCCCAATTCCATTAAAAAAATAAATTGAGAAAACAGAAATATTTTGATGTATAATTTTGAATTGAGTGTCTTTATTAAAATTGATTTGTAGTTTTCTTTTTGAAATTTGATTCCATTGTCAATCAATGGAATCAAAACTAATTATGTAATAATATTTCTATATATAATACAATGTATGTATCATGTAGTATGTGTGTAAGTGTAAATGTATGTAAGTATGTAATAATTAAATAGCGAAAATTAAAATTATAAAGCGTTTTTCGTCTTCATTTAATATTAAATGTTAATTCATGAATCATTATAATTACGTTTTTTTGCTGATCATGTTGTTTATCTTCTTCAAGTATGGCACATAATTTGTTATTATTTGATAAAAATAATTGCAATAACCTTTTGTTGTTGTTCTTCTTCGTTTTCCTCTGGAGTTTGAATTTTATCATCGATATTAACTCAACTTGTTGCTTGTGGTTTGTATTTTAGTTTATTGTAAATTTAACCAAAGTATACGTTCTCATATATTGATTTTTGTTTTTTTTTTTTTGTCAAAAACCTCGGTATAGCTTATAATTTTAAAAATATTTAACACTACTTAAACGTATGGATGAGTATTTTTGTTGTTGTTGTTTTAAATTTGTATTGTTTCCTTTTTTTCATAATAAAGATGATAATGCATTTAATGACAAATTTGTTAAAAGAATAACAAACGAAAAATAAATACAATTTCAATAAGTTAATAACAAAATAGTTATTCATAAGGAGTCAAGGTAATAAGCACTTAAATAAGTTAGAATAAAAAATCAACAAACTTAAATGTTATAATTTTTAATATATTTATATATATTTAATTGCTATTAGTTAATTTTTAGAGGCAATATTAAAGAAGAGATTGGAAATTTATGCCACAACTTCTATCGAGGGCTTGTGTTGTCACTGTTACAGAGATCGAATGTCTGTCAAGGGGTGGTTTTGTATAACAGCATGTAAAATATTTATATATAGCGGACAATTGGTATTGTTGTGCAAAAAAAAAAAAATATTTATAAATTTTTTTTAGAGATAAAAGCTCAGATTCATATAAGGGAATGTTTTTTTTGGAACGATTCCTAGAAATGCTGTACAAATGTAATAAGCAAACTCTTTATCAGGGACTTACATGAAGTTCTGTTTATATTGAATCAATATATCGCTGGAACGAATGTGCTAGAAACGACATTTACCATGATTAATGTGAAACTCAGTTTCGTAAAATGGCCGAAACAGGAATCTCGGCTTAGAAAGAAACACAGATTTGCCTTGATCCGGACAAACGCACCCGTTCCCCAAAAAGGAACTGTTAGTTGTCGTTAGTTTTAGTGGAAAATGTTTATATTTTGTTCTTTGGATATCTGGCTTCGTGGGTAGTGCTAGGTATTGATGTATATGAACGAAATCGAAATATTCCTTATCAAAGGCTTATTGCTCAATTATAGAAACTCCTTGATTGACCGAGAACTTATTTATTTTTCCAACACTTATCTGTTGTTATTCTGCACTACCCGAATGATATTTGTGCCAAAACTACTTCGTTTTGTCGAGACCGAACAATAACAATTGGGGTATATTCAAAATTCTTTCTGTGCAAATCCACATATGAGCGAAACTTCCTCTTAATTAGGCTTCAAACAAGAATTACCTCGATATCATAAAAACAGGTGGTCTCCGCATGTGCCAGATAAACTCACATGACATCATCCCTTTTTATTACGTTCTCATTCACTGCACAAAACGGAAGCTATCGATTGGCTCAGCAACCATAATTCACGATGTATAGGGCGATTACCTAGCTCATGATTTAATAACGTTCTTTATCAAAGAGCGGCTTTGCAAAACATTTTAGATACAGTCTTTATAAATCTGAACTAAAAATTTAATAGCATTGCACGATCTTAAAGTTCTAGGAATTTTTGTTGGAGCTACTAAAAAGTAACTTGAACTCATTTTGGATATATGTTCTAGGTTTGAGGCAAATATAATAGGCGAATATCTAGTTCTTTATTTAACGACGTTCTTTATTAGGGAGCATTTTTGCAAGGACTTTGCAAGACATTTTAGATATAGTTTTTATAAAATCTGTACTAAAAAGTTAAAAGCATTATATGACCCTTCTTAAATTTATAGGAATTATTGTTGGAACTACTAAAAAGTAACTTGAACTCGTTGTGGAAATATGTCCCAGGTTTGAGGCAAATATTTTAGGCTTGCGTTATATGGAAACCATTTCGGATGGCTTTTTATTGGTTTTGATATGAGGAAACCTTCGTTTACCAAGTAGAAGACGAATATGAAATATATTTTAAACAGTTTTGTTTTTGAATTTTACTTCAGTACCAATACACCCCCTGCACGTTCCGCTCGTTATTAGATAAGTTGCTTAGCCAATTTCTCAATACTCTTCTAAGTCTAAAGTTTTCTATAAAAGTAACGTGTTATCTAAGTCAATAGTTGATTCATAAATAACTGTAATGGATTTTCAGCTTTATAATATTTCTTTCATATATGTATATATAAATGTATAGGTATGTAATATAAGTATATATAAAATTCTATTTGGTTAAATAACATTACTAATTTCAAAAAGAAGTGTTCTGGTTTTGTTGTTTTCTCGTATATATTGAAATTGGGGTATTGTAATGTTGAGGGATGTGATTGAGTGAATGAATGTTTTATTTCCACTTGTCATAGATTGTTTTGTTTTATTAAGTCTGGATTTAGTATTTTTTTAGTTATCATTTTCTTCGATTTTTTTTCTTCTGTTTAATAATTTATAAATGTAAATTTTTGTTTTGTTTTTTTTTTATTTTTCTTGTGTGGTTTATTAATAATTTAATTTTTGTAAAAAACGCGGCTAAAACTACTGCTACTATGTAAATTTTGTATTTTTTTCTTTGTTTGGTTTGTTAAATATATATTTTTTTCTACCTTAGAATTTATGAGTTTTCTATAATGAGTTGTGATTTTGTTATATATGTATGTATATTTTCTTTTAAATTTGTAGTTGTTTCTCTTATATTTTGTATGCTATATATATAAATGTAAAATGTACAAGTTTAATTACAAAAGTTGTTTTGTGTTTCTTTATTTTATTTTTAATATAATTTAGCATTAACAAGTTTTGTATTAATAAATTATTTGGTATTTGCTTTTTTGTTTAAATCATAATTTAATGGTATTATTTCTTAGCTTGTTTTAATAACATTTTCTGGTTTAATCAATTTTGCTTAGCAAATTGTTTAATATTTTTACAAAATGTTTTTTGTTTATTTTGAATTGTTAAGCTTCCATTCTGTTCAGTTATACTAAGGGAATTTCTCAAGAATCTTAGTTCTACTGGAGTTTTGTTGTTTTTCTTGTTTTGTATTTGCTTTTGTAGAATACATTTTCTTTGTATGGATAATTTCCTTTTGTTGTTTTTATGCTGTCTTTAAGAAATATTTTTTTGTTTTCATTTCTGGCAAAAGTTTATCTAAATTGTTTATATCTTCTAAACTGTTAATATTTGTTCAAATCAATAAAAATATTTAGCAAAAAAGTAAACATGTTATAAATAAATGATAACCAAATGCATTTTCTTTAAAAATATCTGTAATAAATCATTCGTTTTTATTTGTTTAAAAATCAATGTGTATAAAGAGTTTTGTTTTATATTAAAAAATTATTTCAAAATGTTCTGCATTTTATAAATATTTGTGTCATTTTATTTTATTATTTTGCTGGGATTATTAATTTGCAATGTATAAATAATCACTGATTAACATTTGTTTGCTGCCTGACTTTGCAGTTTTGTTGTCTTTGTAATAATATAGGCGTATTATTGTTTTAACATAACTAAATAATCTATATGATGTAAGTATGTATGTATATACAATTGTAAATCCCCAACGCTGTGATTATACCTAACTGTCCTAAGATTAATGTTATAAAGGGTGAGAGGTGTGTGGTGTCTATGCATTAAAATGTGTTCCGACGACGATGAAAAATAAATCAAATTATTTATCTGAAGTTTGTTTTTTTTTTCAATAAAAATGTTGAAATCCTCTTCGACAATGTCAGAATTTTTTTCTTCTATTAAGTAGTTTTTAAAACAGGAGAAAAGCACACAATCTTTAACAAAAAATGGGATTGACTATTTAAATGTAGATGCACAGATTTTTTGAATATTTCATCAAAGGAAAGGTATTGTGTGACAAGTATACTTTTAGGCGGAAAGAATTCGTAACATTAAAACCAATGAACGATGGAAGTTTGGAACAAATTTAATCATTTCGAGAAAGTAATTGGAAAAGTAATTGGAAAGACTGCACAACAATTTGAAACTATGACAAACGTCTAATGCAATTTCGGAAACTGAATATAATTATTCACAAGTATTTTTCTTAGGTTGGCAACTATAAATACAAAATCTAAAGATAAACGTATATACCTGCACTTGATTTTAATCTCGTCTAGCCCTTGCCGACCAAATCGCTTTTACTTCTAGTTTGATATATAAACGGTACCAAAAAAGAGAACTGACAACGTCCTTTATTAAGGATATTTACTTAGAGGATACATTGTTATAATTTTTTAAAAGAAATGTGTAGAAAATTCTAATCACTCTGAGTAACGAAAACACAAAACACACATATGATAGTTTACGAAGAGGACAATCTCTGTCTAACTGTGACTTAGAGTATAATGAAGTTTTTATGGAATTATTGAATAATAGTTGGAAATTGATGGAACGGTCTAAACGGTCAGGTTGCATCAACAGCAGTTGTTGTTTTCTTATTTAATTTACGTTTATCGACCTGTAAATTCAATTTTATACTAGTAGCTCATAAATTTTTGGCTTTGAGATAAATCCGAAATAATATGTTCACGCATACCCATGAAACGATATAGACGACATCTGGTGATGCGAGTTTTCTTCGAAGATAAACGGTGATAGCATTTAGTGTGAAGAGAACACTTTTCAATTATATTAAAACTGCGACAATGTTTTCAACCGATATTTTCCCTTATTTAACTTTACAAAACATTTGATCGGTCAAATAAATGTAAAGGAAAAACATTGATCAAGAGCGTTCACATCATTAGCACACTAGTCAAATTTTTATTTTTTGGCAAATAATTTTGTTTTCCCTATTTGCCGTCAAATAAGATGTGGTGGTCAGAGAAATATATGACATTTTTCGTCAAGTATTTGTCCAATGTGGCCTTACCTTAACACGATGTGGAAACTGGCCTTTAGATTAGTGTATATAATTGAAGTCCTCAACGAAGTGTCTTTAATTCAAGTCGATTCTCGTCTGCGAAGGTTTGTGTAATTGAATTTTAAATATTTGTTGGTCTAATTTTCTTCATTGAAAAAAGTGGGTGTGAATTGTATTGAAAGTATATGGAGTGAAAATAATTGCAGTAAGAATTTTATTAAAATTGATCATGTATAAAAATTATGTATGAGTAGGATTATTTCTTTAAAAAAAATGAAGAACAAAAGGAATTTTGAAAAGCACTTGGCATTTTGTAAATATGGCACATAATGACATTTAGGAAGGTAATTTTAGTGAGCAATTATATTTATTACATTTAAAATTTAGCTTTTTTGAATTTTGAGTTTAACATTAAATTTTGCTTAATTTTTTCGTTGATTTCATTATTTTAATGGCTAAATGTTAGAACGTTACAAAACTTTCGTAGAAAAAGAATACTCAATTTCTTTAAAAATCGGAAAACGATTTTGCAAAAAAACTTTAATAACAGGTTTGTCAAGAACGATTTAATAAGGGGATTTCCTTTGTCTTTTGATAAAACCATTGGAATGCTTTCTTCAAATTTACAATAACATATTGTAATATTGGAAATAGTCTTTATGAAAATGTCTTTACATATCAGTATGTAAATGAATGGTTATTTAGATTTATTGGAATACCGACAGTTCAATCAGTTGTGATTACTATGCATTTATTTAAATATTGAAAGAGTTTTATTGAAATACAATGGCAACTAAACATAAATATTTTCAATGGGCGCTTTTTCCTTTCTTCTAAAATTAAAAACTTTATGAAAGAAATTAAAGGGAAATTTTATTATTCGAACTACGACATGTTGATTTTGCAATTGGTTTTTTCTATAAGTGCCAGTGCTTTTCAAACTAAACACAAAAGTTCTTCAATATATGATCAATAATTTTGTGAAATATGAATACTTATAATTTCTGGGATTTGAAATACTTGATTTGTTTAAGCCTAATTATAATTTTTTTTTCATCATCGCCATATTCAGCCTGCTGTGTTCTTTATTTTGGGTATGTGTGTATAAGGAAATTTGGTTACTGTTGTTGTTGTTGTTGTGTTTTTTCTCTTGATGTGTTTGTGTGTGTCTGTTCTATATTTTATAATAAATGAAATGTGGTAATACTTTTCTGAAGCTGTCAATAAATATCATTTTCATCCCAATCTACTGACTGCAGTACCAATTTATCCAGTTCTTTGGAATCCCCGGAGCTGCTATTGCGTCGCCGTCGTTTACGATGCAGATTCGACCATTTACGATTTAGATGTACCATTTGTGGCGCTGCAAACATGGCTGCGGCAGCTGCACTCAATTTAGTGGGAGTTATGGCACTGGTTAGGGTGCCCGCCAACGAGGTCGATTGCAGAGGCTGTTGATGTATGGAATTTGAACTGGAATTGCCATTCGAGGAACTAATGGTAAACGTTTCGCGATTGTTGAAAAGATATTTACGAGCTTGTGGCGGCATATCGGAACGTGATTTAGCTGAGGCATACGATGAGGAGTTATAATTGCTATAATGTGGGCCAGAATGATGCGATGAAGAATGCTTCGATTTACTCGAATGATGTTGCAAAGATGATGAGCGTTGTTGTTGCTGTTGCTGTTTTCTGTAGGGCGTATCATAGGGTGGGGGTGGTGTTATCATGGCCAATGAGGATGAGTCATCTTCATGGTCTGGAGCTAGTTCTAGTGGGTGTTGATCGGAACAGGCCTCACGAAATATTTCTTCCTCATCCTCCAGTTGGCGCTGCGATTGCTGTTGGTGGTGGTGTTGATGAGGTTGATATTCATTGGAATATTGTTGTTGCTGCTGTTCCATACCGTGATATTGGGAACTGTTCTGCTGATTGCTGTGTTGTTGATAGTTTAAAGAAAAAATTGGATATGAATAGGGTGGTGTATAGAGATAACCATCAGTGTAGACGGGTTCCGGTTCGTCATCGTCGTCATTGTAATCGGTAGAGGAGGGCACAAAATGATTCGTTGTGGGATTTACTTGTACAGGTGTGGCAGGAACGGATTTAGCCAACGAGCTTTTATGTCTTCGATTACTGTTTGTGTTGTTGTTGTGATGATGTTGGTTATGGTGATTGTGGTGTCTATGGTGTCTGTTACGTTTCATTTCTAGCTTATTGTGATTAGTAGTTGTTTTTGTTGTTGCTGTAGTTTTAGCTGTTTCGTTTGTCTTTTTGGCAGTGTTGTTTTTTGTTGTAGTTGTTGTTTTACAAAGTGGCATTGTTGCAGAAGATCTCTGCTCATCTATGGTTTTTGCTGTTGCGTTTGCAGTTTCAGCATTAGTGGCCTCACTTGTTCCTGCTTCGGGTGCCACTGAGTCTGTTGCTGCATTTGCATCTGCATCTGCTGCTGTTGTTGTGGTTGTATTGTTGGATGTTGTTTTGATTAGTGGCATTGATTTGGTATTAGTGATCAATCAATCACGATATATATAACTACAATTCTTGGGGCTCTCTTGTGGTGATGGACTGCTGGATGGTGGTGCTGGACTAGAACTACTATTTGACATAACAGGCGATGAAGCCGAACTGGAGTGTTGTGGACTATTGGAACGGTGTTGTTGAGTTACTGCAAAAATGAAACGAAAAGAGAAAACAGAAAAATGTATTGCCACAAAAGGCAAAGATAAATAAGTGAATACAATTGAAAACAGAGTACAATGGAAACACAAGAGAGAACATCAATTTTTTTTTAGTTCGAAAAAAGTCAGAGGGTCTGGGAATTTATATGAGATTTAACTTTACCATAGAAGCACATAATTTATTGTAAACTAAAAACGTAGATATATGAATTTTGAAAATTTGCAAAATATAATTTTAACTGGAGTCCACCATAAAAATAGGAAATAAATATTTATATACTTGAAATTAATCCCGCTTGTGAATTGTTTAAAATTTCAATCAAAATGTGAAATGATTACCCTTATAGAGTATTTGTTGTAAATGTCATCCTGTTTTCACGGCTCAGAATTTCTAATGTGTTTTAACAATTGGATATATACACATAGAACATACTATTTCTCATCACACAGTTTCTGTTTAGGTAAAGTTGTGACTCACTAGTGCTATTATCGCCTAAATTTGTCCAATAAATATTGGAACAGTTTTTGAGACATTACATACAGTTTATTAGTGTTAGCGTTATTTGAGTTTATATTCCCCAGTCCTTTTCAACATTTTTTATAGAGATAAGAATACAAATATTCCATCAGATATATCTAAAGGGTGAGATGAAAAAATTTCAACTAACTTCAGACTGCTGTCATTTCTGAGCCACTCGTCCGACAGCTGTTAAAATTATTCCGGTGACAGCTCATTATATTGTTTACAAGCGTACAAAAGCATTTTGGTGTGAATTTTCCAGAAAAAAAGTTATTCGTGATGGAATTAAAGCATGGTAGAGTGATTTCTTTATAATTGGCTGGGAGACCACAAGTGGCTATCGTTAGAGCACTCCAGCATTTAAATATGAATAAATCTTTTGTGTCTCGTACCATCGCTCGTTACCGTGATACTGGTAGTGTAGCCCGACGTCAAGGAAGTGGACGGAAGAAAACAGCAACATCAGCAGAATTGATTCCAAAAGTAAGGAATCGAATTGATCGAAACCCGCAGTGGCCGAAAAATGGCTCGTAAGCCGAACATATCGCAATATTCCATTCAGCAAATATTGAAAAATAAGCTCGGGGTAAAGCCATTGAAATTCTAAAAAGTGCAAGAACTTACACCGCAACAGAAAGAAAATAGTCTCAAAAGAGCTAAAAAGTTGCTTCGCTCGGCCGAAAGTGGTGAACTGTCGAATTTGATTTGATTTGATGAGAAAACATTAAAAAATACCAAAGTGTCGCTCATCTCAAGCAAGCGTTCGCCGGGAATGGGCCAAAATACCGCAGATCAACATTCGGGCAGCAAGTGACGGTTTCATTGGCCGTTTGAAGGCCATAATTCGTGCCAAAGGATACCAATTCGAATAAATCTAAAATTATTCTAAAATTTGATGCTATTTCCGTCATTTTTTGCTTTCAATCAATAAAATTTAAAAAAAGTAAGAACTATGGCTTTTCACCCTGTATTTATAGCCTATTCATGAATTATCCTGTTGGGATAAAATTCAAAGTCGATTTTACAATGACTGTTTTTCTGTTGAAGTCACGAGTTCACACTATTTTAGGTTTATCCTTCAGTTTTTGTAGAAATGGTTGCAATATTGTACGGGATCGGTTCATATCTATGTCCCATATAACAGTACTTCCAGAATCAAAGTAATCTGATGATATCCGATATATTTTCTAAACAATTAGCGGTTCCCATAGCAGAAAGGTGGGGAGATTCAAAAGTTTAAGCACTGAGCACCAACAGGATTTTAAATAATTTTTGGGACAGCAGTTTGAAACTCCCGCTTTTTATGGTTAATGTTGAGTAGTGGACATTTTGGTAGAGTAAATAGTTTCATCTCCGGAACCTTTTAAAATTTTACTATCTTCAGAAAATTTGGAGACTGCTTGTATGTAATTATGGGCAAATTTGCAGGATTGTAGTTTATTCAATGCAGGATGAGAAACAGTTAAAAAATGTAATTTATTTGTTCATTGTGTGTACTTAGTTGATATTGAATAGCTAATACCTATCGTATAAAAGCGATGTTTATATAGACTCAATGATCGACACATAGCCCTCCTGGAGATCAGAACAATTGTTGGTTATGTACTGTACAGCGTGTGTTCTATTTTGATCATTAGATACTCACTTCATGGACAAAGTTAAATCTCATACAAAAAGTCAACATCAATATATTATTTATTGAAATAATAAAATAATAGTCAAATAAATCTGGTAAAATGGATGAGTGTTGGGATGACAGATTAGTTTAGTTATGATAGTTCGGGATGAAAGAATGATTAGTGCTTGCCATGATGAAAATATAATTTCTAATAGACTTTTTCATTTGTATTAAGACTAGATGAATGAATGATATAATGACATATTGTTAGTATATATGTAACCTAGTTATATTCTTATGGTTCCCCATAATGTTAGTATTCTCTTAAGGGTGGCAGTATATGTATTTAGAATTATGTAGAAGTTTTACCTCCAGAAAATATGAAGTTTTCATTATAGTTGTTGTAATTATGGTACTTGTTCTCCTCGGGACTCATCTCTAAACAAACAAAAAATCGTAATGGGACAAAGCATATAAATTGTTCTTTATTGCATAATATTTATAATCAATTATTAGGGTGGAAAAGAACACACATCAAATCAAGTATTGTTTTTTATTTAAAAAAGGATCTTTGCATAAAGGAAATTATTATCATTATTGACTAAGTAATTTGAAAGTTATGAATCAAAAGACATTAAAAAAAAACTAAGAGAAATCATTCATAGTAATTGAAATAATTGAAGCAAAAAATGCTCATTGTCTATCTCTATGTTTTCTTATACGCTAAAGGGGGGGAAACATTCCAGGGGTATAAACATCATATTGAAGTTTAAATAATTTGGGTCGCTTAGGTATATTACTAAGTATATTTGAGCCTGGTATGGTTCTAGATATATATTGAGTCTGTGTCGCAGATAAAATAACTCGGTGACATTTTAAGAAGTAAGCCCTAAAAAATAGGGCCGCATTGTAAAATGATATCTGGCGTACACGCAGTGGCTACCCTACCCTAACCAGTAGAAAATTTACCAAGTAGTTAGTAATCGAATATATAGAATCGAATTAATTACGAAAAATCCAGTTGTTGTTTTTGAAATTTATAGTAAGTGTGGATTTTCTATTTCACTATTATACAATGGGTTTGAAGTTAGTATGTAGCACATTCTAAATGTGAATATATTATCTCTAATTTTTGGAAGAAACAATTATGGCTAAAATAAAATTCTGAATACAGAGGTCTATAACATCTATATGTTTTAAAAATACCGTTGAAAACAAGGCATTAAGCGAACTTTGGCTGTATTAATCTCTTTTTCAAGGATTTTTTCAATGCATTTTTGGTTTTAGTTTTTAAAGTAAACTTCATCTATTATTTTACTGTTTCTAACAACATATTTACGCTTCGGAGTAAAATGTTTCTATGTTATATGTTTTTGAAATGTATTTTATTATTTGTAAACTTTTTCGATCTGAAATGATTTAGGTGAGCACTAACATTGAGAGAAAGGGGTTTAAAGTTGAGCAAAACAGGTGTTTATTGAGGAAATAGTGAAGAGGAGATTTTGTGACACATATTTGTAAAAAAAGAACAGAACAATATCAAGGACCAGACACAAATTATTTTTTGTTTAACATTTTTCCATGAGGTAGGCTCATTTTAAAATTTTTGAAATTAAAAAAAATATGTCCTTCAAAGATATACATTTTTTAAGAATCCAAAAAGACAATTTTTGCTGGAGCCAAACTGGGGAACAATGGTATCATACATAAATATTGTGGTGTAGTAAACAACAAAAGGGAAGACATTTGGCTTTTATAGGTACAAAAAAAAAAAAATAAATAAATAAACAATAAAAGAGTAACGAAATTGAAGAGTCTCAAAGGAACACTATTTTTAAGCGTTGTTATATAGGTTTAAGGAGAGAAACCCGTTGTTGAATCCAACGAAAACCAGACCTTCGTTGAATTGAGATAAAGCAAATGGTAGAAAATATATATTTAGATGAAAATTCTGAAACTAAGTTTTTGGAGCTCAATTTGGACAATGTAACACAACCGCTTTTTACCTTAAACTGAGAGATAGGGAGACGAGAGAGGGAGACGAAATATCTTCTAAGCTTAAAACTTTCTAGAACAAATTAACTCTCATGAGAGTATATGCCACAATTTTATTGCATGGATGGTTTAATAAGAGAACTATCCAGATGTAGTCCAAGGGGACATTGTGGAAAGATTTTTCAAGATTTCCATAATAACTTCAAAGAAAGGATATGCAGAAATTTGTTAGAAACCCACATAAGGCATATTTACTACAAAGGAAGGTTTTAATTAGCTTTAATGACATGGTTTAAAGTCCCGCAATTCATTAATACAACCTAACTTCGGGGTAATCCTCAAATTACTGTATTGTTAGAGCCTCAGATTAGAGTATATCAATTTCGCTGGAAAACAAGAATTCCTTGATAAGCATTTTGGTGAGAATTTTCAGAAAAAAGTTATTCGTGGTGGAATTCAAGCGTGATAGAGAGATTTCTTAATATTTAGGTGGAAAACCACAAGTGCCTATCTTTAGAGCACTCCAGCATTTAAATGTGAATAAATGTGTCTCGTACCATCGCTCGTTACCGTGATACTGGTAGCGTAGCCCGATGTCAAGGAAGTGGACGGAAAAAAACAGCAACATCAGCAGAAATGGTTCGAAAAGTAAAGAAGCGACTTGATCGAAACCAGCGTCGTAGTGGCCGAAAAATGGCTCGTAAGCCGAACATATCTCAATATTCCATTCGGCAAATTTTGAAAAATGAGCTTTACCCCAAGCCATTGAAATTCCAAAAAGTGCAAGAACTTACACCGCAACAGATGTAAAACATTCGTCCGATGAGAAAACATTCGTTGTCCAGCAGTTTGTAAACAAACATAATGATCGTGCCGCCATAACAGACAATGGTCGCTATCCGCTCGTATTAATCGAATGGCATCAGAATAAATGCCGAATATTATGGCGAAAACATTCTGGAGGGTGTATTAAAGCCTTGGGCACGCAAACATTTTGGCCGCAGACCTTGGACATTCCAACAGGACTCAGTACCATCGCACTCAGCACGCGCCAACCAAGAATGGTTACAAAATGAGGTACCTCGCTTCATTTCCAGCGCACAATGGCCACAAAAATCTCCGGATACCAATCCGTTGGACTATTGTGTCTGGAGTATTTTGGAAAGCAAGGTTGGCACTAAAACATACCCAAGTGTCGATCACCTTAAGCAAGCGCTTCGCCGCGAATGGACCAAGATATCGCAGAGCAACATTAGGGCAGCGTGTGACGGTTTCATTTTTGAAGGCCATAATTCGTGCCAAAGGTGACCAAATTGAAACAAATCTAAACTTATTCTAAACTTTGATGCTATTTCCATTTTTAGCTTTCATTCAATAAAATTAAAAAAAAAAACAAGTAAAAAAACAATAAGTTCGGCCGGGCCAAACTTTTAATACCCTCCACCCTAGGGTAAAAGAACATTAGAAGAAATGTGGCAAAAAACATTAAAATGCCGAATATCGGGAGGTACCGTTATATAGGGGCTACACCAACACGTGCACCTATAATTACAATGTTTCGCCACACGAACTAGGACCCATTATGACCCACAAATACCAACTTTTACACAAATCAGTGAAAAAATGTGGCATAAATCATCAAAATACCGAATATCGGGAGGTACCGTTATATGGGGACTATACCAGAACGTGGACCTATACATGGAATGTTTTGCCACACGCTCAGGGACCCGTTGTGACCTACAAATACCAATTTTCAGACAAATCCGTGAAAAAATGTGGCATAAATCATCAAAATACCGAATATCGGTAAGTACCGTTATATGGGGGCTATACCAAAACGTGGACCTATACATGCAATGTTTTGCCACACGCTCAGGGACCCGTCATGACCTACAAATACCAATTTTCAGATAAATCCGTGAAAAAATGTGGCATAAATCATCAAAATACCGAATATTGGGAGGTACCGTTATATGGGGACTATACCAGAACGTGGACCGATATCTCATTTTCAATACCAACCATCCTAGGGACAATACACACACTTGTGCCAAATTTCAAAGGTCTACATCAAATAATGTGGGCTCTATCGTGATTTCAACAGACAGACAGACGGACAGACAGACAGACAGACAGACGGACAGACAGACAGACGGACATCGCTAAATCGTCTTAGAATTTTATGCTGATTATGAATATATATACTTTATGGGGTCTACGACGAATATTTAGAGGTGTTACAAACGGAATGACAAAGTTAATATACCCTCCTACCCATGGTGGAGGGTATAAAAATGTAAAAATTATTGCGTTTGACTTTGTTGCAGATTTTTTTATCTCACCCTGTATATATAGTTTACGAGGTCCGACTAATGTTTTGCGGGGTTTTACAAAATAAACATATATTTATTACATTAAGTGTTATGTAAAATATTATTGCATAGTACAAGGTATTGCCATTTTGGGTTCTCAATAAACTCATTCCAAAAAAGTAGTTTTCAATCTCAGACTTCTGTTTATATGCCATATAAACATGATATTCAAATTGATGTCTGGTTCAAAATAGGTTCAAAAGAAAAGCCTTTTACAAATATGTGTACATATTTTTCAAAAAAACAAAAGAGTAAAGAGGTCCTATTGCATATGTAGATCTTAGTGTGGGTCGTTGTTTTTTTTTCTAATATGGCATAATTTATCTTACACATACAATGCATGTTGCAAATATAAAAAAGGGTAAATATTATCTTTTTTCAGTCTTTTGGAAAAGTACACACTCACACATCGACAATATTTATATGTTGCAACATGCACCATTTACATTCGAATATCAATTTGGGTATTTTAATGCATTTCATTAAAATTGAAAAAACAAATTGTGAAAAATATTTTTTATAAAATTACAATTGAATTATAAATAAATTATAACAATGTGCAAGAAATATGAAATTTAGGTGGTTTTATTTTAAGTGAAATTACGACATTAAAGATATGAAAGCAATAAAATTAAATGAAAATACACACTCATATTTTTGAATCAACAAATCAATTGGAAAAAAATTTAAAGATATTTGGATATTTGTGTGTGCGTGTATGAAGTAAGAAATAGAGCTAGAGGTGATAACGTAATGTAAGAAATAACTTACCAATACCATGACGGGGCGGCTGCCTTCTCATACGACCAAGACTTCTATTACGTGTGTTTGTGTTAACAGCCTGAATTTTAAAGTGATTTTTGATTGGTATTTGGAATTTATTTTGAATTTTTGGTTTTTTGTTGCAATTGTAGTTGTTGTTTTGGTACATTTGTAAAAAATAAAAGAAAATGAATAGATTTTGTTGTTGTAAAACATAAATATTGTAAATTGATTACAACAATGTTGTGTTTTCCTCATTTTTTTGGATTTTTTGATTTTGTTATTCAATAATGAAAATGCAAATGATTTGTATGATGACAAATGATTATGGGGTTTTAATAAATCTAATCTAATGAAATTATTGTTCAAAATATTATTTCTCTATGTTGAATTTAAATGACATGCTTTTGTAAAACTGTTCAAGTTATTCAAAAATATTGAAACCATGTTTTCAGCATTAATTGAATTGCACATTAATTGATTAGCTGTCATTTAGGTGAAAGTTAGATACTGACAGCCACATGCTACATGTTTTTTTTTTTTGGTGTATTTAAATATTGCAATCTAAATCGATTCAAAATTGATAACTGTTAACTGTGGTTTAAAGACGATAGTACCATGCTGAAGATTGAAATTGTCGATATTAGTGTTTTCACAAATGAATTAGAAATCATATTTAAAAATTCCTAATTAAATATAGAAACTCAATTTTGCAAAATTCTTTCTCTTAAAATCAAACAGCATACAACCCCAATAAGTACTTTTTAGTTAAAATTATTCAATAATTTTGAAAGATTAAATCTTAGTAGCATCATAATTTAATAGTAAAATATGAATCTATTTCGAATAAATATAATTAAAATCCATAATTATTGGACCGAAACCCTGACTTCCATTGGAATGCATACAAATGTTGGAGATTCGTCGCATTCTGCGTCGCATTTTGTCACCGAAATATACATCTATACTAAAGACCTTAATACAAAAAGGCGAACATTGACAGTCATAAAGACTAAGCCAAGAGGTATATTATAACTATTAGAACCTGTGCCTCTTGGGTCGAAGTCGTTTCAGGACATTTGGAGTCGACTTAACGCTGTATTTGGCCATTGCGAAAAAAGGGAGAATCTGATTTCGCCCTGATTTGGCAAACCTGTATGTGCTTCATAAGACTTGGATAAAGTTCAAAGAGGGATAAAAGCGGCCCACTCCTTCTGGTGAGTTGCCTAAACTTAAACATTTAAAAAAGTGTCTATCATAAAAAGTGAAAAAATAATACAAATTGTTTCAAATATCGCCCACCGTAGTATTTGTATATGACTTAGCTCATGAATAAAAATTTTTTTCGCCCAAAATTATTAAATTTTACAAATAAGCAATATTAAAGTTGATATAAGTATTAGATTGGCTCTTAATATGGGATCATCCCATACTCACAAGAAGTGAAATATTGCAACGTTATGCTTATATTACTCCTATATCTCCGAACTAAAAAATGGATCAAAGAAAACTTTGTAAAATTTAAAATTAGAACCCAATGTCCATCTATAACTATTCTAACTTTTTTTAAAGTATTAATTTAAGGTTTTGAACAAACTCCCAAAAGTTTATACTTTTTGGGGTGCCAGGTCATGAGCATAGACTAGTAAATGCCCGTATGCCGAAAAATAATTTTATAATAAGTGAATTTATGTGTAATTATTTACCTCAACTATTGGAGTGAATCCAAATAGAACTTAATAAGAGAACGCTATTTCTTAAAATCTATTTATAAAGGGAACGACAATTTTTTAATAAAAACCACATTCAGTCACATGTATATCCGCTAAAATCAAGCTTAGATCACGAATTAATCCGATTGCTCTGATGGGTAAAATGGTCCTATATTATCTATTTTCTTTGAAGGAATTTGAAGGCCAATATTTGTAAAAAAATCGAAAGTAAATGTCTCCGATAAATACGATAAAATGCATACGTATTTGGAAAGTTATATTGTTTTTTAAATGAGCACATAAGTATTTTTCTTATATTTGTATTTTTCATCATTTGTAAAATATGACTATATTTCATAGTCATCATAATACCGAAATGGAAAATTATAGATCTTCCATTCAGTACTTTTCGTACCGGTACGAATTTTAAATAAACTTCCTTATCTAAAAAGTAAATTCTCAATTCTATTACCAAAATTTTTATTTTCAGCTCTATTCCTGCACTCCTACCTGCCCATTTTCCAACCCATAGCTACCTTCAAAATTCAAATTTTTTCCGCTCTATTCCTATACTTATAATATGTTATGTACATTTAATACTTCTGAATTCCGAGATTCACATTCTTACTCACAGTGATTCCTATATCAATATTCAAAATGTTGATTGAACACTTCATAATCACAGTGATTCTAATACCAAAAGTCATAATTCCAGTTCTTTTCCTACACTATTTATCAAAATTTTAACGATTTGGTACTTTTCCTACACTTATTGCGCATCTTTCTATACTAAATTTCAACATTCAGCTTGTATATTTTTACCCAAAACGGAATTGCATTACAGTTCTTACACTTTGTCCACAATTTCAAAACTACATTCTCATATCAAGACTATTTCCCAAATTTTAGTGAGTTTGGTACACTTATTATTCGACTTTCAAAAAACCCGTTGGTTTGTCTATCCTACACAACATCAAAAGGTCCTTATTCCTAATTTCAGATTTGAAACTCCATACCTTTTGAAAATACCAAATTTAATACCATTTTGCGCTTTTCGGATTTTTTAGTATATAATTCCAAATGCACCTCCATATATCAACCCTACCACAAAAAAAGTGATCTTAATACTAAATTTTTAGTTTTAAGCTCCATTTCTACCTAATGCTACTTTTTAGATTTCAAGAATATGCATCAGTACCATTTAGTACAATTCTTGCACTTGGTGCACACTTCCAAAATCATTTCCTTATATCAACCCTTCTTCTCCAACTAAATTTGGTACAAGAATTTGGTATACACCAAGATTTCACATAATATGATAAAGGTACCAAATCTAGTGCATTTTGATTGTTTTCAGCACACGATTAGTACAAAAGAAATTTTGGTACATCCATCCTACAACCCATCGCTGACCCTCGTTCCAAATTTCCTTTTCCTTGAACCCATGAAATGGATTCAATTTTTGGTACCTTACATTTATATTTCGAATTTCCAACAAAAACCCAACCTGATCTTACCCTTACACCACATTGACCTATGGCAAAATTTCAAGATTCTATCAGCCATTTCGCCTGGGTGTTGATAAATCCTTAAAATCCTTAAAATTGAAAAGAACAATGATTATCACCAAACAAGAAGCAGAAATACAAAAATGTATTCCAAGAAAATATAAAGTACATCCGGTCGAATATATTGTAAAACAAGTAAAAAACATTAAGTTCGGCCGGGCCAAACTTTTACTACCCTCGACCTTTGGGTAAAGGAAACATTTGAACCCACTATGGCCCACAAATACCATTTTTTAGACATATTCGTCGGAAAATGTAGCAACAATTATCAAAATACCGAATATCGGGAGGTACCGTTATATGGGGACTATACCAAAACGTGGACCGATATCAATCACTCTCGTAAATCCCTAAAATTGAAAAGAACAATGATTATCACCAAACAAGAAGCAGAAATACAAAAATATATGCCAAGAAAATATAAAGTACATCCGGTCGAATATATTGTAAAACAAGTAAAAAACATTAAGTTCGGCCGGGCCAAACTTTTACTACCCTCGACCTTTGGGTAAAAGAAACATTTGAACCCATTATGACCACAAATACCATTTTTAGACATATTCGTCGGTAAATGTGGCAAAAATTATCAATATACCGAATATCGGGAGGTACCGTTATATGGGGACTATACCAAAACGTGGACCGTTATATCTCATTTTCATATCAACCATCGTAGAACAATACAGGTAGACTCATCGACGCAGCTGATGAGACAATGAACTGTCAACCCAATTTTGGAATTAGAATTTTAATTGAAAAAATATTTAAATTTTTAAAAATATATTTCTCAACAACCTCTGATAGTAGTTGTATAAGAAAACATATAAAAATATACTATATATTATATAAATATATTATATATATATAATATATTTTTGAAAAATCATTTTAAATAATCCTGAAATATCAATGTTCCGAAGCGTTGATGCATCTACCTGTATTCTTCTACCATGATACCAACCACCGTAGACACAATGCAAATTGTTCTGCTAAATGTTGATGCTCTACGCCAGACAATGTTGGCTGTATCGTGATTTCTACAGACAGACAGACGGACATTGTTAAATCGACTTAGAATTGTATGCTGATTATGAATATATATACTTTATTGGGTCTACGACGAATGTTTAGGGATGTTACAAACGGAATGACAAAGTTAATATACCATCCTTTCCAAGGTGGAGGGTATAAAAAGCCTTAAAAAGTTTAAAACTATTTTCGGGTAAAGAATAAAAAGTCCACATTTTTTGTAAACAAACTGGGATTTTTTCTTGGACACCGTTTGAAATTCTTTTTTTTTTCCATTTTCGGCTGAATTTACTCCGATTGCAAAATTTGCAAACTTTTTAAGAGATAATAATTTCCAAGAGATTTAAGAGATGTATGTATCTAAGAGACGTATTCGAATATTAAAGTTGTATATAATGTCTATAAAAACGTTACTGAGTATTGCATAAGTTACAAAAACTAAAAACTACTATTTACGCTAGTCATTTACGAAACAACATGCATGGAAAAAGGGTCTCTCCGAATTTTTAAGTGTTGGGATAGTCAGGAATAAATTGTGTGAAAAAAAAACGTTATTTATAACGTTTTTAAAAACGTATATTTCGAAAATGTGATAGTTTTAACCAATATGGAAATTTTAATAACAATGTATACGTAGACCAATGTGTACTGCAGATAATGATGAAATCTATGTTTTTATATATTTATCAAGCCTACCTAAGAAGAAAGTCAATAAATAGGAGAATGTAGAGTATTGGGGATGCGGGATGGCTGATTGTTTTTTTATAAGT